CGAGGCCTCGCGTCGGCCGCGTCCCCTCTCCCAGCCGTGAGGGACGGCGTCCTCGCGAGGCCTCGCGTCGGCCACGTCCCGTTTCCCAGGCATGAGGGACTATATCCTCGTGAGGCCTCGTGTTGGCCATGTCCCGTCTCCCAGCCATGAGGGACGGCGTCCACACGAGGTCTCGCGTCGGCCGCGTCCTGTTTCCCAGGCATGTGGGATGGCATCCTCACGGATGTGTTGCGTCGGCCACGTCCCCTCTCCCGGTTACTGGGATAAGAAGGATCTCTAAAGAGAAAAGATCCTTCAGGACTGAGGGAAAGATTTTTTAGTAAATGCACAGCCTTCAGGTTTAGTTTCTGGTTCCAGCTGGCTGCTAATTCAGAATAAGCCTTCAGTCCCTTTTTACAGAAGCCCTCTTCATATTTGACTGCATCTGCAAGAAATCAGATTCCTTACCTGTTTTTCAAATTCTCACTGCCAGTTGTACTCATATTTCATTATAAGGAGTAATAATCCTTTTATTCTACTAGAATAGGTGATACTTTCTTAGGTAAAAAAAGGTGACCTAGTACTGTGGACTGCAGCTTGAGATGACCCAGGGAATGCAAACTATTCTGTGCTCCTTGAGAGACTCCTCTGTTAACTTTACTAAGTTGCATTCATCTCTCTGTTCTCACTTTTGAGTTGTAAAATAGGTGTGGAGGATTGTCCATGCTACCAGGACTGTTCAGAGCAGGAACATAGTGAAAACAAGGCAGGAGAAAATAGTAATAATGGTTATACTAAAAATGGCTTCAAGTTATTCTGTCTTTATATCTGTCTGGATATGTGCAGCACCTTTCATCTTCCATGATCAGTAGCATTTTACAGACCTTGGTCCCTGAAGGGACTGTCTTTAAGTACAGAACAAGATCAGAAATCCTGGCGATTGTGGCTTGAGCAGCGGCGTAGAGGTGGCTTTTGACTAAAGATGAAATCCCTGTTTCCATTTCCCCCTTCCCTCTGTTCATGCTGTGTGGGGATCTTTGAAAACCATGGAGATTTGACAAAACTTCTCTAGACTTACCTAAAAACACTACACATGAGCATTCGGTTGAGCTCTGTCTGATCTTCTGTTTAAAGAATATTATTTATATATGATATGTATATAAAATAAGCCAAAGCTTGATGTGTTTTAAAACTGTCCATAATATGTTTAGTGTAAAGGATATTAGAATATTCTTAACTGTATAAGTACAGATGGACTTAGATCTTTTCTGTTTTTAAAGACTAAGGACTTTTTGTCCTTAACACTAAGCAGCAAGATGTGTGTGTATCTTCTGATTGCATCTCAAATTCTCTGATTTGCTTTAATTCCTTCATCGTTATCTTGCAGGGCAAGATTTGGCTAGTAGATTTTAACCCTTTTGGTGAAGTAACAGACTCGCTGCTGTTCACCTGGGAAGAACTGATGTCTGGGAACAACTTGAAGGGAGAGCAGGGCGAAGGGGAAGCCACGGAGCAGGTACCGATCTGCTGGGAAAGGAGGCCCTCGGCTCTCTGGGCCTTCTTTGCTTCTACTAATGCTGTGATCCAGATCCCACTCAAATAATTGGATGCCCTAACCTCTGGAAATGAAAACTCTGTGGAAGTGTCTGTTTAGGCAGTGTTTCACTTCAAGTATCACTTGCTAGCTCTAGTTTCATACGAGGGAGTTGTTGCTCAGACAGCACCAGCCCTTATTACAACTCTTGCACGTTACCAAGAAGGTGCCCTGAAACGTGGTTTTGCCTAGTTTTGATGCATCTTCAAATTCTTTCCATTTTGATTTCATCTCTTAAAATCTGCAGTGTGTTACTTACTGCCTTGAAGTTCCTCTTTGTTGCAAATGCCTGTCATTTAATCTCCCCAGTCTCCAGATTTATGTTTAGTGGGAGGCAAAAAGAAGCTGAACTTCTGTGTCTTCCTCACACCAGGTACCCTCGGGGAAGCCTTGTCCTTTGGTTGAACTCCTGGACTTGCAGAGCAGGGCCGTCCTATCCCTGCTCTAAGCTGCATTGCCCCTGTTAACAAGGAGAGGGAAAAACAGGCTTTATTTATTAGTAACAGCTTTTTTTCATTGCATGAAGATCCCTCTGAGGGCCCTTCTGCTAAAAGTTGTCATCTTGGTTAAAACACAGTCCTAATTCTTGAGCCATCCGTGGGAATGCTATCCACTAAATTTTGAGTTGAGGATTTCTTGGGGTCAGGTGCTTTACAAAGCTTGTCTGGTGTAACCCCAAATGAAAAGTGGGCTGTCTTCTCCTCATGCTTCAGTTTGCATCTGACCACAGAATCTGAAGCAAAGTCATTGAAATAGGATCTACAAAGTGAAGACACTTTTTGCCATCCAATAGGTAATTGTGTTGCTTGACACTTGTAGCATGTTCTAAAGATGCAGTGTGTTAGCTGAAAATGATATTGAGCTTCTTAAAATTTATCACTAGAATTGAGTTTAGATATATTTTTGTCTTAAAAAAGATTAAAAAATGAATAAATTGGAAGAAAACTTAGGCCATAGTTTTGTCAAAGGTGTATTCGTGAACATGAAATTAGGCAGGAGACCCGTGAAGACAAGTTAATGGTTGTTATGATGAAGGTTCTCAGTGTCCAGATGTTTAGAAGGGTGCTATTACCCAGAGTTTCCAATGACTCTGTTATACATAAACTTGTAACAGTGCCATATTAATTACATGAAAAATAATTAGCACACTGTGGCAATTTTGACCTGAGGACGGGAATGCCTTTGCGTAGTGATAAATAACATTAACTCCTGCTTGTAAATGGGCAGAGTTTATAGTAATATTTACAACTGCTAGTAAATGCTAAATAAACTCCTTGGCAAGGTGACTCATTGGGTCTTAGTGAGGAGTTTTAAACAACATAACAAAGTTTGTTCACAGACCCTGTGTGTTTCTGTGTTATCCAATGTCTTTCCCCCAGGACTCTCCAGTTTTCCGTTGTACGAACAGCAAAGTTCCTGTCCAGCCAAGCCCATACCTGAGTTACCGACTGCCGAAAGATTTTGTGGACCTTTCTACAGGAGAGGATGTTCACAAATTAATTGACTTTCTTAAACTGGTAAGAAGTAGTGTACCCATTTCTGTGAAATGGGAACACGCAAGTGCCTGGCATTGTGCTGCTGTAATTAACATTAAAAACTGTGATGCATGGAGCCCTAATACGTTTTGAAGCTCATTTATATATTTATTTTATTGATGAAGAGTAAGCTGTCATACCAATCTCAATTCATTTAATTTTGTCTTCTGGGCTAGCAAAGAATATTACTTGACAAACTGTTATTGGAGAACCTGACTGTATTTGTTCTTATTTAAGTAAAAATACAAACACAGATTAAATGCAAATCTACTTTTTGATTGGCTGAAAGCTAATGCTTTTAAGAACCTTTTTGAAAGCCAGAAAAAAATTATATCAGGAAAAAGCTTTAACAGTTTCCACCCCCCTGCAGAAGATAAGAATTTCTTGGTACTTTTGGTGGTAGTTCTCCATGACCTCTTTATAAGTGGGGGAAGAGTTTAAGTTGCCTTTATGTAGACAACTGCGTTATGTTTTCTGCGAATATGTCTGTCTGTTTTTTGTTTTTTCTTTAGCTGGGTTACATTTAGGGCTAATTCTGTTCCTACTGTAAATAAAATACCATACCTTTTGGGAGGAGCATTCAGGGAGAGAGAAGATTGATGTTGCTGCATTTAGTTTGCTGGAAACATCGCTTATCATTCAAAAAATGGTTTTGATATATAGTCATTTTCTAATTTCCAACATATACGGAAAATACCTGTAGTGTCTTATTACTGCTTCTGTTTATGATGGCTGTGTCCTAACATTAATTCTTCTGTTCCCTTGACAGAAAAGAAATCAGCAGGATGATGACTGAACTATCAAGAAGTGTTGCATTGAATTACAAGCAAAAAATATGGCAAAATCTATATTTAGCATAACTATTAAACTATCAGTTTAAAGAAAACTGGCTTTTTATATTTAGTGGAAGAACTGAAGAGCTCTTCATCCTGTGTGTTGACCTGTGTGCAAGTGTTGAAAAGCTTTTTCATGGAAACAGCAAGGGTCAGGGTGAGCCCTCATTGCACTCCAGGTTGGGCACAAACGAACCACGGTGCAAGCAGCACGTTGAGTGCAGCTGAATGACTGGCTTCCCATCTCTGTGTTGTTAAAAAAAAAAAAAAAAAAAAAAACAAAAAACCTGTGCCATTGAAATGCTGAGACTCTTCAGTGATAAATATTACAATATTTAAATCTTGTGGAATTGAAACATCAAGTGTTCTTTATGTTTGGACACAATTTTGCTTAAAATATAACATAGTTGCAAGGAAACAAAGGAATGTATGCTGTTTTTGTAGGAGCCTTTTAAAATGGTAGATTGACTTTGTGTTTTGGGAGCATTTATCCTTTTTTAAAAAGTGGAGAAGGGATTTTTTTTTTTTTTCCACTTTCAGAGAGTGGATATAGGAGACTACATAGATCTAAAGTCTTGCGTTTTGGGAATTTGTTGATATTCTGAATGCATTTCAATTGAAGTAATATTTTCACACTGAAGAATAAGCCATAAACTTTTTTAGAGCGTTCAGTTTCATTCTGGAATAATACATTTTTCTTGGAACTACTTTTTTTTTTTTTCCCCTTTTTTGAAGCACGGCTAAGTATCAATCATCAATTATGAATTTAATGTAAATAGGTAATCCTAACATAAACATGTATCTTTACACATGGATTCAAGTCTTGTTTCTTTTCTGTCAAATCTTTTGAAGTTCCTTAGGAAAGTGATTACAGTTCCAGCTCCTAAAATCAGCTCCTGGGTTCGTTTGATTAGAATCAAGGAATTCGGAAGCTTGATTAGATTTGGGAAAACAGGAGCTCTTTTACTTTGTTACTGACTGCTGGTGGTTTTTGGAGCAAGGAGGAATCATTTTCAGCCTAAGAACTATTAAACTTTTGGATAAATGTGTTTGTGTGGCCGTAAGTAATTTCTTAGCAAGGTGAACAATTTTAGCTGAAATGAAAAGAAAGCCAGAGGTGCTTTTAGGTTCTGGAAATTGGCTCCTATTTCAACTTTTGTGATACTTTCTGTATATGAAGTTCCTCTTTTCTTTGCCTTGCTGGCAAATTGATATGGCACTCAAGAGTTGCCATCTGCACTTGGATATTAAGTCTTTTCATACTGTCTTTGTCGCTTCCTTTTTGAATGAACGCTAAGGCTGAAGACTGCAGAGGTAATGAATCCTATTCTACTATATACAGTTTTCAAATATCTTTTATCGCTTACTCTTCTTGAAATGGAAAAGCAGCAGATGATTACTCCTGGCGTCTGAAAATATGGAACAGCTTTTTTTGATATATTTCTTTTTTCCCCTAAGCCTTCTTCTGCAGCAATGACACCACCTCCTCAACAAGGTTTGCACACAAATCAAACTAATAGTAACTCAGAACAGGAATTACCCCATACTGTAGCTTCCTGTGCTGGATGTTTCCCAGACCAAATGCAGTGTTGGGACCAGTTTGGTGGAACTGTGCATGCCAAAGCTTCGCTCCAGCTGAGCAGGCTTCAGGAGTAGCCTCATAACTTTATTTCTCTTAACTTCATTATTTGTCCTGAAAACAGCATTTCCAAACGAATTGCCCACAGTTGGAGCAGAACTTACTGGCAGCTTCCATACGTCTCCAGGCTCTCTGGCCTTTCGTGGTCTTGCAGATCTGGGACAAATTATAGTGCAGTTGGACCCTGGCTTCGCACATTGCCCTCTCAGCGGTTGTGTTTGCAGCTTCTGGTGAAAAGACCCCTATAATAACGTGCCCTTCTGTTCCTCCCCAGTGACCCCTGCACACCCAGCTTATCTGTCCCTCATCGGACACACTGGAAGAACTTCTCTTTTTACATGAATGTGCTGGCAGTGGTGAATTCAAAAGTTTGTTGTTTTTTTCCCCCCTGTGTCACAATGACCACTCTGAATTAATGCACTGCTGAGCTGAGCAACCAAGTACTGATAAGTGACTTTAGTTCAGGGTTGCAGGAACTTATGCCACTTCCTTTGGGCATAATCTCAATAAAGAGCCATAAAAGGCAGCAGAGCAAAAAGAGCAGCCCCATGTTCAAGCCCTGACAGATAGAGTCTCCACTATAAAACATCGGTGCTACATAATGAGATTCCATAAGCTGTCATATCCTCAGTTTAAATATGTGCTTTATGTTTAGTCTGCTTCTTTCTGTAGCTTTTGATGAACAGGTCTCGAATTCTTTCTCTGCTAGATTAAAGATCCCTCTTGTAAAAGGATTCTCATCAAATGTGACCTCTTTGGCTGTAAGGATAACTAACAAACATTCCTCATGGAGAGGTGAGGAAACGCATGTCGCTACGTAAAAAAAATGTATCAGAGCAGTCTGAACACTGACACTGCTTTGGTTCTATTCCAGGTTGTAATAAAATTGGTTTCTATCTGTACCTGTCAGAAATTTGGAAAAACAAGATTCCAGTTCTCCAGGACCTTGGTCATGTGTTTCAGTGATGTGAATACCATTTGCTGAGTAAGGATTATTTACGTATATTCTTAGTCATAGGCTTAAAACGTTGTATAAAGTTAATTCTAACATGACCTAGGTGGTAAATGGGAGGTGTTTCAGAGGGAGGGCGCCTGCATGGACTCTCTACGGGTCGTACAGTTACCAGACTGCAGCCTCTTAAAAACTCTGGCCATGCCTGAGGCTGGGGTATAATGAGAGAGTAGCTCCTACATTGCAGCCCTGCTCGGAGCACCAAAGAAAATGCTTCATTTTTTTTCTTGCAGCCGATGGTTTTGGTGTTTCACGCCGCAGGCGGGTGGCAGTGGTTGCTGCTGAGCAGCTCTCTGAGCAGGGGTTGTTAACACGTACCCGCTCAGGAGTCCTGATAACGTTCCTGTGTTTCCTACTGCAGCCTGGCCCTTCCCTTTGGGCTCCTTGGGCTGTTTTTTCCCATTTAGTCCATGCTTTCCTGACCCCCAATATAGTATTTGGTTGAATGTTAAGATTAGAATAAGCAGTAGCATGGATAATACTGATCTGAATTTAAAATTAAAAAAACAAACCACTGCTCCCCATTTTCACTTTTGTGCCCTCCTAAGAGATATTCTGCTTTTATATTCCTGAGTGTAGTGCTCTAACATCTGGAAAGAAACCTAAAAATTGGAGAACTTTTTCCCGTCTTTGGGTGTCAGTGAAATGAATTCCCATTATTGCATTCTGGTCACGCTTTATGCCTTGTAAAATCTTCCCGGCCCTATCTGATATTCTCAGCTAGAGCTTCCGTGTATCATTCTCGTCGTTCTTTGTCATTCCCCCGTGCTCACACGCAGCTGCCACTCGGGATGGTGCAAAACAGCCGCCCGATGGGACACAGCTCAGACACCCACCGAGCAGCACAGACCATCAGAGTAGGTGCCCGCGGCTGCAGCCTTCTCAAGAACATTTCCTGGTGCAAAGTTTCCAAAAGTGGTCAGAGTTGGCATCCGTGGTCCCATGGAGATGGGGAGTAGGACACGCTGCTAACCTGGGTAAAAGTAGTTCTGTTACCTTAGTCTTTATGTCCTGCCCCCGTCTCGCAGTCAGAGAGGACCATAGGGCAACTCTCAGAGGAGGGTTTTGACCTTCAGGCCAGGGTTGTGCAGTTCAGGCTGTGTTTAGATAGGAAATCCATTACTTAAGGAAATTGCACGGGATGGAAATACATATCTTTGGTTAAGAGAAGATGAGCCTGAAGTAAAACAGAGGGACAGACCCTGGTGCCTCTGATTCATGAGGGGTCCCTGCTGATGTGTAGGGGCTTAAATCCAGCTCTTAACTATCCAGTTAAGTTTCTGTTATTGGTTTAGAAGATCTTTATTGCTGTTTGAATTTTATTTCCTCTGTAAGAGAAGAAAGTCTCCAACTCATGGTCCTCCTGAAATTCTCTATGATAAAAATAGGCTTTGTCCCCATAGCTTGCTTATGTTGCAGACCTGAAGCTTTCTCCAAGTTGCAGAGTCCTTAAGCAGTAATGTATGGGGTGTTTTGTTTTGTTTTCTAATATATATATAACTGAGATTGAAAGAGCAGAGTTTTGGTTTTGGGGGAAATGGAATAAAGCAGTTCTGGAGGGTGCGGGTGTTAGTGCCTGCCTGGGTGAGCCTAAAAGATGCTGGGTGGGATGGGGGTGTTGGAGACCTGCCTGGCACCACAGCAAGCTCCTAATGTGAAGAGAAATGGGCTCGTAAGGACTTTCAGAGAGCGTTCTAAAGGAAACCACAAAAATGGAAGGAATGGCACATGATTAAGTGTGAAAAGTTGAGGGGATGGAGAAAAATGATGGATGATTCAGAGAAAGCTGATGCATTTCACATTTGCTTTGCTTTGCTGTACTGTTCTTACAAGCAGAAGACAGAGATGGACTCTAATAAAAGCGCACACTGCAGCAGAGAAGCTGCACAGACAAGATACTAGAATCACAGCAGGGATTTCAGGTGATAGTAGAGTACAATTTATCATGCAGCTTGTATTTGTCCTTAACTTCGTTAATGGCTTGAGTGGTAAAATAAATAGCCCACTTAAAATCTTGTTGCTGCCAACGTGCGAATGCACGTGGGCACTTGGGGGCTCCATCAGGACTCAAAATGGCCCTAAAACACAGGGGAAATGGCCTGAAAGCAACAAGAGGAAATTTGACAAAAGCGAGAGCGAAGTCCTGTCCTTGAAAGGAGAAATCAGACAGTCAAGTGCAAAATGGGGAAATAGCAGCTCGGCCAACGCGGGCAGGTTACAGGAGATGCCATTAATACAAAGTCAGGGAGAGGCTCCTGGGCAAGGGAAAGGCAGGCATGGTGTGGACCAGCTGGAGAGGTACAGGAAAGAAATGGGATTTATGTGAATTGCTTTGGTGGTAGTGCACTGCTCTATCCAGGTGTTTCAAGAAATACATCATTTATTGGAGGGGGT